CATAGGAACCTCCAATTGGCACATCCCCTCACAATGTGATTTCATATCAACATACAATTTCTTTTACACTGAATTTGTAATGTACACAAGGATATCAAATTAATATATATCACTGGTTTTGTCCCTTTCATCTTTTTTCTTTTTCATCTTTTTTGCCACTCAGAATCTACAGTACATGACTGAATGCCACAAAGCAATATGTAAATTGTGTTTAACCTTTTGACCCTGAAAATTGACTCTGCTTCCTAAACTTGGCAGCTAAGGGAAAAAGTGTGAAATAATAAAAAAAATATTACAGTGACCTACATAAAAGTGTAACTTGTTTTCACAGCATACATGTACATGATCATTGACTTGCTTTTGACCTTGAACTTTGAACCATACAATCATGAACTTCATTCACTGTAGCAGAGACTGAAAGGTTAAAGGACACTGAAATTGTCCACGCACTGTATTCTCCCTTTTAAGCACCCCCACCCCTACAAGCACCATCTGGAGTATTTTCTGATTGTCTGAGAATAAGGACTCCCCCCCCCCCCTTACTACCTTATGGTCTCACCAGTTTTATAGATCTACATGCAAAACTGATTGAATTAAAATCGCAATATGTTTGATGAAATTGATCATGCCATTGATCTGTGTGAGGAGAGAGAGAGAGAGAGAGAGAGAGAGAGAGCGATTGACACAAGCTTGAACAATTTATTTTACCCCCAAAAACTTTTGATGGATATAGAGTTAGGGCATAAACTTGAATTAACTTTTTGACACAATCAGTGCATTTAATTTCAACACGACTACCAAATAAAGCTCCTTTTTGCAATTTTTGTAACCACCCAGGTGCTTAATCGTTTTAAAAACCTATCACTGACTTTGACTCTGAACACTATGACCTCGAAATCAAAATATCGCATTTCTGTACAAAGTATGAGACTGAAGAGTTAAATGATTTTCATAAAATCCGAGTATAAAACAATGCTTTTGACCTTAACCTTTGGCATCTAAATTGAAAATTCTTCGCAGTAAAATGTACAAATATATGTAACAGGCCTGTAGGAAGCAATTTCAGTTGGGGGGGGGGGCACAGCTATACATTTTCAGTTGGGGGGGGCACTATCAACTACCAAAATTTCTTGACAAGCAAAAAAAAGTCAAGCATATGTTTCCTATACTAATCTATATATCGGCAAAATCTCGGGGGGGGGGGGGGGCGGTTTTTACGGCCATGTGTAATGCACTTGAACATAATATATTTCTCCTATAGGTTTATACTACATGCTTATAGTTGAAAATTACCTTTGGCCCGGCACTCCTCTAATAGTTGACCAGTGTTTGGTACCTGAGGTATAGAAAATTAGATTAATGCTTCAGTGAACTTGATTGAAATCAGAAATAACTAGGGTACGGCAATAATTGACGTATTCAATAGGAAATCGACTTTAACGATTATTGATTTATATTGAAATAGATTTAGTAAATTATTGCATGCTCTTTTTATAAATTAAAAGTTCCATCTGGAAAAAAGTTATAAGAGGACTTTTCTAGACATTATTTTCCTTTTTTGTAAGAATGTCAAACATCTATTTTCTCATTGATATAATAAATATCCGGTATACTATATAATGCGTGAAATAAAAAAAAACAAAACAAAACAAAACAAAACAAAAAAAAACAAAACAAAAAAAAAAAAAAAAAATCGGAAAGAGTTTCTAAAAACTTTTCATCCTTTTCAAGGAACAGTATTACTTAAACATTTCGCACGTGCAGTTTACTGTTAAACAAAGTATATACACAAACCTCTAATTTGATGTCCTTTTTGATCATTTTACAACATATATAAGAGGTATTCCCCGTGCTCAGGTGCAAAACGTCTGCATCCTCGGCCTTCATCATAGGCGAACAGGGTGAGCACGAGTAAAACATCTCCTCGGGATCTGGTGTCGCCGAGGGCACATTTCCCTGGGGGTCATCCCTCGTGTCACAACTGTCCCTAACCATCTGAAGGATGACCCAACAGAAAATTAATCCTAACAGGAACACATTGGCAAGGAAAGAAATTAGCAAAATCTTGGACTTTCGTCCTTGGTTTGGTATTGAAGGATCCGGGAAATCATTTGAATTCGGAGCACCATTAGAGTTCACTGAAGTTGTTGGTAAAGAGGCCGAAGTACCATTAGAATTCAGTGGAGTTTTAGCACTCACCTCGTCGCCCATTGCCATCATGACCAGTTCGATTTCAGTTGGACACAACTGAATATCTACAGGTGTACACACTCCCACACATATACTTCCTGATTAATCGGGGAAACCATTAATTCTTTCCTCCCTTACGCACACCAGCACTAGAAAAGTCAAATATGCTTCCGATGAACTCCGGAGTTGGAACGAGGTTTTCTTGTTCAAGCGAGAACAAGTGGTGCTTTAATTCTTTCTCATGTTTACCTGAGTCAACCGTTCTGAATTAAACTTTCCCACGGAGGAAACAATCTACGAATACAAATGCAAGGTGAACCTAATGCAATGGCCTTTTGTTATCTCCTTCTTGACAGATTGCAGATGGGTATTTCCTATCATAAGTGATAAATAAAATTCCTATCTACAGTTATGTAACAAACATAGAAGACGTATATTTTTATTTACCGATTAATGTAGTGTTTGTATCGAAAATATTTCGGTTCGCATAGTTTGTTTTCACCTCCATGAATGTAAAGCAATGTGTTTGATATCACTTTAGTGAATGAAACTGACAGCTCTCGGCCACGCAGTTTCCGGATGTTCGAGTGTGTATACAATACAGATATTGCAACACAAGAAAAAAAAATCACAGACAATAAAAAGATAAGAAATGCATTTGCTTTATTTCACCAAAAATTATCCAAGAAGATGGTCCCATACAGTCACGTTCAGTTCCACATCCACCCATTCTTTGATTTTTTTTTAAAAGCACCACTTATTTTTCTTCCCCATTGACACTATTAATTGTCCTTTGGATTACAATTTGAACTGAGTACTTGTTTAAATTGGATGTCTGTCCACTTTGTATATTTGTAAGCATTATGTAATATTATACTTTCATGTAAATTAGTTGAATCTGATTCGTCGAGAAACATTTGTTTTAAAAAAACACTAATTACCCTCTGAATAATGAAACCACGTGCCCTTCAGTATAGCAACAGTCAACATTGTTTGACGACGGGTGATATTCCAAAATTAATATTGACTGCGCAGAATTTATGCGCGCACGGTTCAGTGTTACATGTATTTGTATAATATAATAAATACTATACATTTATTGACTGGGTTCGAGGGCAACATGCGTTTTGTCGGACTCAAGAACCAAACTGTTTGCCTGAGGCCGTTAGGCCTCAGTTTGGTTCGAGGGGTCGGAGTCGACAAAACGCATTTTGCCCGAGAACACAGTCAATAAATGTTTTGTTATACCTTTTATTTATTTATTTTATTTATTTATTTAGTTTTTTAATACATGTACAGTGTATGTCGAACATCACCGAATGCAAATGAGATTTAGCTGACCCCGCACATTATGTGACGTAAGCGGTCCAACATCTCATCGACAGGTCCAACATCTCACTCCGCGGTCAAACATCGATTTATTTTTATGCCCGCTCAGTAAAACATTGGAAATGTTAGACTTTTATTAGTATTGATTAATACAGGAACAGATTTATAAAGGTATAACAATGCATGTTGTTGAGGGTAACATTGAAAATTCTCACCCCAAGAAAACCATTGTCAACCTCGGTCCTCGATTGACAATGGTTTTCTATGGGTGAAAATTTTCAATGTTACCCTCAACTACATGCAGTATTTATAAAATAATATATATAGAATAGATTTAATTTGCCAATCATGGTCCCATTGAGGGCATAACATACTCATTAGATACATGCATGATTTATTAACACTCAAGAGGACAAGAAAACACATCAACATACACAGCTATACAAAACATAAAATATTTAAAAAAAAAACAACAAAAAACAAGAGGCCCAAGAGCCTTAACAGTCACCTGAGTATAATACAACTCTGTAAAGGATCCATAAAAGTATAAAACAAAATGAACTGATAGATGAAACTATGTTGGCCAAGAATTTCAAAAATCCAGTAAAAATAACCTTGCTTATTGTAACGTGCGAGACCCGAGTGATCTCGTTTGGATCGTACTTGGTTTGCCCCCGTCTTACACGGATGATAATGAATGCAAAATATACAAATACAATGGACACTTGTATAGTGTGTAAGGTATCCAATATATACAGATATGTTTGTGTCACTTGCCTAATGCTACAATTAAGTACACAGAGAAATCTCTAATGCCTGTATATTTACTCGAGGTGATGCCTCTTGGCTTAACACAAACAACTTAGCTGCTTGCCACTTGGTAATACTTGGTGCCAACACTTGCCTCATGGCTATAAAAAAAATTGGTAATACTTGTTACATGCACTCGCCACTTGGCCATGCAATGTGGTTATTTGCCACTTGTCACAAGCTACAACATGTCCCCTAGTCACCCTGACTCTCTCATCACTTGTTCACTTCCATAAAGTATAAAACAAGATGCCATCTCTTGTCAATTACACTATGATCTCCATGACTTTACCTGATATAACTTCTCAATTGTCAAACAAGACATCACAGTACGAACATTCTATGTACAATTGGGCATTTTTCTACGTAAATAATCTTTAAGTCAATCTTTTATATTGCTTAACAGACAAGAATCTGATTTTGAGCATGCTTTGCTCATTTAAACCAAACATTCATTTTTATTTTGTTTCTATATATATAACATTCTTTCTTGTATTCTCATTCAATCAAATAACCTGTAACCTGTTGATTAAATTATATACAAGGATTTCTTGATTAACACAATTTAGCAAAGGGGAGTAGCTCTCATTTGCTTCATTTATTACAATTTTGTACTCTGCTTACCTTCTAGACACCCAGGAGCAGAGAAAAGGCACATTTACTCAATTTATATTTATACATTTACATTTAAATATTATTGCATTTAGTTTGTTTGCTTAATACTGGCTCAGGGACAGAGGATAAAATGCATTTTTCCTATGTTATCAATAGAGCCCCACCCAAACACCAGAACCCCTGACCCAGGAGCCATGCAATTCACCATTTTGGAAGAGGCACCCTTGCTCATCATAACTCATGAATTTAGTTTTTTTTTTTTTTTTGCTTAATACCAAGTAGCAGATTTTCAAAACATTAAATTCATTTTTAGTATATAATCATTGGAGCCCCCCGGTACCATTGACCCAGGGGCCATGAAATTCACAATTCTGGAAGAAGCACCCTTGCTCATCATGACAATGTACTTAGATCATCGGCATAATACCCAGGAGCAGAGGAGCATATTTTCAAAGAATTAATGCATTTCACTGTATAATCAATAGAGCCTCACCCTTACACCAGAACCCCTGACCCAGGGGCCATGAAATTGACAATTTTGGAAGAGGCACCCTTCCTAATTATAACTATGTACATAGTTCATTTGTTTAATACAGAGACGAATTCCAAAGAATTAATGCATTTTCACTATATAATCATTATTACCCCGCCCTAACACCAGAACCTGTAACCCAGGGGCCATGAAATTCACAATTTTGGAAGAGGCATCCTTCCTCATCATTACTATGTACATAGTTTATCGGCTTGATACCCAGGAGCAGAGGAGAAGATTTTCAAAGAATTAATGCATTTTCACTAAATAATCATTAGAGCCCCGCCTTAACACCAGAACCCCTGACCCAGGGGCCATGAAATTCATAATCTTGGAAGAGGCATCCTTCCTTATCATAACTATGCATTTAGTTTGTTTGCTTAATACCCAGGAGCAGAGGAGAAGATTTTTTTAAGAAATAATGCATTTTCACTATATATTCAACAGAGCCCCGCTCTAGCACCAGAACTCCTGACCCTGGGGCCATGAATTTCAAAATTTTGGTAGAGGGCTCAATACTTATTACAATCATGCCAACAGTTTGGCTGCTTGATGTCCAGGAGTAAAGAAGACTTTTAAAGATTGCATTAATTTTGATGGTTTTAGCCCCACCTCTTAGGCCCCAGGGGCAGGGGCCATGAATTTCACACTTTTTACTCCTACTCACCCATATAGATACTATATGCCAAAACTGGTTCAGTGGTTCCAGAGGAAAGGCTGAAAATGTTTAAATGTTAACGGACAACGCACGACGACGGACGAAAACAGATAGCAATAGATCACCTGAGTAAACTCGGGTGACCTATAGGCAAAACAGGGGGTGATGAGTAATTTGAATTATCTCCCTTACACCAGGAAGCTCTTCTGTAAACCAACTTTTATTCGCGTGCGAGAAATATTCGCGATTTTCGCGACCTACTTTAACTCGCGAATATTAATTGCGAACCAATTATTTTGCTTTGTATTTGTATAGAATAATTTCTCAGTCGCGAAAATAAATCGTCGCGGATTGATTTCAAACTGACGAACCGCGAATAAAAGATGACGCGAATAATAGTTGGTTAACAGATATCAAGGAACAGTGCTTATGCATGTCTCAGCAGTGCAACTGTCTGGACAGCATTCTTCCTCATAACTAATGTAGATCAGCAGTTCCATTACATGTATCAAATAAAATTGAAATTTGATAAAAGTATAAATAAATGGGTAAAATTAAACAAATGTTACCACGTTGAAGTATAAATGTAAATAAATTATAAAAATGGTTGTCAGTCTACAGAAAGACATCAAGGGACGGTGCTCTAGGAAAGGCGTAATCCTAGTCAAATATATATCATGGATATAAGGTTGCATTCCTCCTCGTGTCTAATGTAGATAAGCAACAGGAGCACAATTAAATTTTAAAAAATGTAACAGCTGAATACAATATTATTTCAAAAGTCATATACAGTGTTTTGATATGAACTTCCTTATTCCTGAGATTGACTCATTTTCATTTGAAAATAGACATATAAGCTTCTCATTAAAATCAAGATTAGAGAAACTGGTACCTAATTCTGAGACAGATTTTAAGAAAATAAAGGATGACTGCACTTAAGGACATGCGGAATTTGCGACAAAATAAACTTTCAAAACAAGCATTTTTCTTTTCATTGCAAGAATGGTCAACATCCAATCTACAACTTTATGTAATTACGTTTGATAAAAGTGTGTATTTACAATGTTCGAATCTGTTTTCAAAGGCAGGGGTCATCACAATTTCTTGAATCTCCGTTCGATAATGAGGACGCCCACTTTTTTGCTGACTTTATACATAGTCAGCGCATGTTTGTCTATTGTTCTACGTTTAACAGTAGTTGTATATTTGCATAAATAATAATGTGTCAAAAGGAGATTAATAGACAAACATGCGCTCATGGTTAAAAAGAGAAAAAACTGCTTCTTCTTACATTCGCTCTCTGTGTTGTAACCAAGGATTGTGACATGTTGAATATTATAATTCACCACGTGATTTCTTACCTCAG